TGTGTGGCGAGGTGGGGGGGGGGGGGGGGGGGGTGCGGTGGGAGCCCCCCAGGTGGATGCCGTGGGGCAGGGTGCCGTGGGGCTGACATGGGGCTGGCCTTTTCCAGCGGCTCTCACATTGAGAACTGGCACTCCATCCTCCGCAACGGGCTGGTCAACGCTTCCTACACCAAACTGCAGGTAATGCTCCCCTGCGCCCGACACGCCCCCCCCGGGGCAGGCAGGCAGGCAGGCAGGGGTGCAGGCAGCAGGAGACGCGCTGCCTGCAGAGGCCGGGCTGCCTCCGCCACCGTGCCCAAGCTGTCGGGGTGACCCCGCGTCGCTCACCCTGGTGTTTTCCTGCAAGCTGCATGGAGCAGCCTATGGCAAGGGCATCTATCTGAGCCCCATCTCCAGTATTTCCTTTGGATACTCAGGTAAGGGGCTGCCTGCGCTGCCCGGTCCTGCCTGCGCTCCCATCCCCACTCCCTGCATGGGCCCGGGGATGTTCGGCATCGTGCCGGCCGGAGGAGCTACGTGGGAGCGGGCAGCGTCCCGCGTCCTTCCCACTCGCACCGGCCTCTTCCCAGCCAGATTGGGGCTTTCCGATGCACCAGGGAATTAAAACCCCAACATTTTCTAGGCTCTGAAAGCCGCTGCGCCCGCTTTTGGGGGGTTCCCAGGGTTCGGCCGCAGGGCGGGAGCACCCAGCGTGGCTGTCCCCGTCTGTGGCATGTGTCCCCGCGTCACACCAGGGGTGCTCCCTGCCCGAGAGTGATGGCTGCCGCCTCGCTTCTCCGCAGGGATGGGGAAAGGGCAGCACCGGATGCCTTCGAAGGATGAGCTGGTGCAGAGGTACAACCGGATGAACACCATCCCCCAGGTGACGGGCTGGGGGACACCGCGGGAGGATGGGGATGGGGACACGGCCCCCACGTGTGCAGGGGACGGGGTGAGCTGAGCCCGGCCGGGGCAGTAACGCTGGTTGCTCTCCCCGCAGACCCGCTCCATCCAGTCCCGTTTCCTCCAGAGCCGCAACCTGAACTGCATCGCGCTTTGCGAAGGTGCGGGGACACGTGGGGGGGCTGGAGAGGGGTGGTCGGGCAGCACCCACATCCCTGGCTCAGCTGGTGGGTGGAGGAGGGAGGGAGTGAGGGTCCCCACCACAGGCTGTGCCCAGCGGGGACCTCCGTCCCCCATCCGACAGCCCCTTCCCCCGGCAGTCATCACCTCCAAGGACCTGCAGAAACACGGCAACATCTGGGTCTGCCCCGTCTCGGACCACGTCTGCACCCGCTTCTTCTTTGTGTGAGTCCCGGCTGCGCCCACCTCACCGGCACCCATGGGACACCCATGGGACACCCCCTTACCCCCCCCTTCTCCCCTTCCAGGTACGAAGACGGCCAAGTGGGAGATGCCAATATCAACACTCAGGACCCCAAAATCCAGAAGGAGATCATGCGTGTGATCGGGACTCAGGTGTACACAAACTGAGCGGCGGGGGGAGGCC